GTGCAGAGGTCAGCAATAACGCAGAGGTCAGCGGTTTAAGGCAGAAGTAACGCACAGTACAGAGGTCAGAGGTGAAAGGCAGAAATAATGCACAGTGCAGAAGTCAGCAATAACGCACAGTGCAGAGGTCAGCGGTGAAAGGCAGAAATAATGCACAGTACAGAGGTCAGAGGTGAAAGGCATAAATAATGCACAGTACAGAGGTGAAAGGCAGAAACAACGCACAGTGCAGAGGTCAGCGGTGAAAGGCAGAAATAATGCACAGTACAGAGGACAGTGGTGAAAGGCAGAAACAACGCACAGCACAGAGGTCAGCAATAACGCACAGTGCAGAGGTCAACGGTTTAAGGCAGAAATAACGTACAGTGCAGAGGTCAGCGGTTTAAGGCAGAAGTAACGCCCAGTACAGAGGTCAGCAATAACGCACAGTGCAGAGTCAGTGGTTTAAGACAGAAATAACGCACAGTAGAGGTCAGCAATAACGCACAGTGCAGAGGTCAGCGGTGAAAGGCAGAAATAATGCACAGTGCAGAGGTCAGCGGTGAAAGGCAGAAATAACACACAGTACAGAGTTCAGCAATAACGCACAGTGCAGAGGTCAGCAATAACGCACAGTACAGAGGTCAGTGGTGAAAGGCAAAAATAACGCACAGTACATAGGTCAGCAATAACGCACACTCTGCAGGAGTGTGCAGAGGTGTGCAGGAGTGTGCAGAGGTCAGTGGTTTAAGGCAGAAATAACGCACAGTACAGATGTCAGCAATAAGGCACAGTGCAGAAAAAAGCGGTTTAAGGCAGAAATAACCGGGACTTACAGTGCACATGGCTGACCTGATTCAGGTGCCTTTTTCCTCTCCTGGTGGTGGGGGGGTGGAAGGGGTACAGCGATGTGTCCTCCATGTCCGACTTGAAGTCTCCCTTCAGGTCCCGTGCTGTACTGCCGGCCAGCCAATTGGAGCTCTGCAGTCTTCCTCCCAGCCTATGGCAGCTAACGTGGGCGGAGGAAGACTGCAGGTGATGGACAGCCAGCTGAACTGATTCTCCTTTCTCTTCTCCTCCTCCTCGGCCGCTGCAGCTATAGAGAGGCTGAAGAGGAGAAGAGAAGGGGGAGAGCTGAACGGGTGATCGCCGCTGCTGAAGCGGCAGCAGTTTCCCCCCTTGTCGATGCCCCCCCCCCCTGATGAATTTCCACTAGCCAATTGCAAGGGGGCGAGTGGAAGTTTTGACCCCTGTTATAAACAATTACACTCCAGAAGATATTATTTGTTGTTAAAGTGCAAACAATCTGGTTTCAGTGATCACTCTAATACTGTGCCTGTCCCATAAAATGATTGAAATGTTATTGTTTAGTCACAGTAATTAAGAATTGTTATTGAACTTGTCAAATCTTCAGACTTATACCAATTATTAATATGCTTTGTAAGGACTCTGCTTCTACTGCTAGTTCTCAACTTAGAATAACTCCCTGCAAGTAAATAAAAGCTTGAAATAATGAAATACATTAAATATATGTATAAAATAACCCTTCAATTAAATACCGTGTTTCCCCGAAAATAAGACACTGTCTTATATTTTTTTTGCCCCCAAAAACCACACTAGGTCTTATTTTCAGTTGATGTCTTATTTTTATTTTTTTAATGTGCAACAAAATGTACAACAATCTAAAGTTATTCATGTACAACAATCCAAAGTTATCTGGTATCACTCCGACTGTCACAGTAACTGGCGCTCTAGAGGAATATTGGCTAATGCGGCTCTGCTCCCTCTGCCGCCGCAGCTTTGCTTTCTACAGCGCCGGCTTCCTTTGCCATCAGGGACAGCGGTGCAGCAGTGGGGACATCAGACAGTGGACCGTGTGGTAAAGTACAGTACCATTTACCGGTACACAATACATTACAGTACCATTACATTAAGCAGTGCCTTCAGGGGGACTGCAGTTGGTGAAGTATGGTACTGGAGTGCTCCCTGTAACTGCGCTGTCTTGAGGGAGTCCCCTGTCATCCCCTTAAAACCGTATGTCCCTGCAGGCTGATACCATGTCTCCTGCAAGTTCCCTCTCACATGCTACCACCAAACTAGGTCTTATTTTCAGGGTAGGTCTTATATTACAGGAATCTTGAAAAATAGTGCTAGGTCTTACTTTCGGGGTAGGTCCTATTTTTGGGGAAACAGGGTAGTAGCTCTACTGAGTGTAGTATCTAAGGGGTTTTTACAGGCCAGATGGCAAAGCATACTGTATTGTTCATATAGATATTTAAGTGCCATCAATTAAATGAAACAATATTCAGCATTATTGTAATCTGACTCCACTGAATGGTTTGAGAGTGATTAGTGCCAAATGGAAGGGTGCCAAACTGTACATAAATGTTACATAAAAGTCCTCATCCTTTGATATTAGCTTCAATAGAAGGGAAACTTTAGTTCTTTACATGACACTTGACCTTCTTTTTTTTAATACATCTTACCTTTTAAACGTGTCTGTGTAGCTGGCCTTTACAAGCTTCTTTCTCAACTTCCAAGTGATAGGAAACTGTGACTGTCCCCATAAAAAGGATACGGACAGACTGAGCTTCCTCCCATTTACATACAATGTTCTAGATCTTTAACTCTTTGTAAGGACAGACAGTGTTCAAATCTAGTTTACAAGTGATAATGAGATCTGCAAGCAACAGTACAGAGATTTTTTTAGGTTTTAGGTAGCGCCTGTACATATAATTGCTAGATGGAGAGATGTCTCCAATGTAAGGCTCCACCCCTTTCCAGTAAAGCCATAATGAGGTTTGTTGTTCTTTTAAATCTGTGCTTCCCAATTATAATCTGCTGTGTTGAAGGTTGGGGTTGAGGAGAGGGGAATGGGG